TTTTAATATTTTAGGAAGCGGGTACCTATAACCGGAATCGGTTCCCGGTTCCAAAAATTCAAGAACCGCTCTAACCGGTTCTGGTTTCAATATCTCAAGAACCGCTGGTTTCGGTTCCTGTCAAATGGTGCGGGTACCCGCCTATGCTCACCTTTAAATAGGGGTGTTCGCAGTATGATTTGGTGCGGTTTAAGGTCAAACCGCAAACAACACTGCACAGTACAGTTGGTAAAAATGCAACAATAAATCACAACATGAAAGTTCTAAACTGATTTAGCGGTGTGATGCGGTTTTACAGTTTGGATGTACACCCTTAAATTTTAATCAATTAATTTAATACATGAAGTTTAATCATTTAAAAACTCTAAAATTTGTGAAATTTGTGAGAATTTCTAATTTAATGTTTTGTTTTACATGATTTTTTTCTAAGTATATGTACCTTATGTATTGATTAACACTGGAAGCATACTCGTGCAATGCAGCGAGATACATCTTGATTTTAATATTTTATTTTATTATTTATCTCAGTCGATATTATAGTATGGTCTTATGATGATGTTTTTATTTTTGAATAAAACAAAATTTTGAAGATATCATAAAATTTTGACAAAAAATATATCGATATTAATATTAAATTATAATTTTTTAATTCAATTTTTTATTATAATTTAATTCAAGTTCAATAACGAAGTAATTTATATTTTTTTTAATAATACTCGATAATTATCCTAATAATATTTTAGATTTTTTTATATTTTGAAATAAGATATTTATCCTCTATTTGGTTATGTTTATTGGCAGTTAGTTATACGAATTCGAACATGAAGCTTTAATAAGTTGTACTTATGCATAATTTACTTGTAATCTTGAATTTTTAAGTACTATGCATCAATATACAGTACTTCATGCATGAAAATTGGTTTTTAAAAGTTTTTTGTCAAATGTTTTATAATATAGTATAGATATGTTTAGTTTAAAAATTGTTTGTTTCATAAGTATTCGTAGGGGTGTTTATCGGTTGAAATCGAATAGATTTAGGTAGATATGATCTGATCCAATCATCCATTGGATGTTGGATTTTGTCATCTGATCCGATCCGACTAACATTGGACATCCAATCTGATACAAATCCAATGGATGATTGGATCGGATTGATTCCATCCATTTGATGTTATTATTGGTTATCTATTGGATCCGTCGGGTTAAATTGGATCGGATAACTCTCTGCACATCCTTATGTATTCGGTTCACAATGTAAAACTCTTTTACATATATTTTTTGTTTTACAAACGTGGCAAAAAAATTACATTGAATATTTTCACAACGTCACTATCTATTTTCTAAATATTATAAATTTTATAATGCAAATAATTCTATGATGCTAACTTTTTTAAATGTTTGCTACTTTACAAGACATTGTTTTTCTGATGTATAAATCCATTTTTTAATACTGATATTAGTTTTTATAGGACATTCTTTTAACCAGTTTTCTATAAAATAGTTAATACGACGTTTTTTTAAAATAAAAATGTCTTAAAAAACTTGTTATAACGTCCAAAAACGTTTTATAAACTTGTTACAACGTCTTTAGATAATACACTTTATTTTATGGTCACTTTATTTTGCTATGATAATGTTCTGATAATCGAAGACTTCTTACGATGTGCTTTTGTTGTGATAATGATGTGATAAATCGAAACTAGTGACGATCACGTCAACACTCATTAGTTATGTATCTTCATTATGTTATTAGCGATTTTTTTTTTCTCATTTTACCCATGCATGCATTCGATATTCTTAAAAAGATAAATATTCATTTAATATTTTACTGCTGTCTCAATCTTTCCAAAACTGTAACTTAAAAAATAATAATGGGCTTACGATTGTTCTCGCATTTTCGTAAATCATATGTGTTTTCGTTTCAAACTCTTCCATGTATTCACATGTGTATGTAGCAGCAGGCTCCGTCGTAAACCACATTTTATTGCTGACCGAAACACGGAACCACCAAAAGCATACCATATATCCAAGACATTCATCATAAAATGATATAAAAATATCACGTCTACTATTAATGATGAACGTGAACATGTAAGAGTGACATCCTCTTGATAATTCTCCAGTTTGTAATGGAAATGTGATATCCAGCCGAACTTTCATTTATATATATACATACGTGTAAGTAAATTCATGTGTACCTAATGGGCTGTTTGATTGGTTTTTTCATCAAGTCATTTATTAATGAAGTTGTTTATGTTGATTAATCTGTACGTATAAATTGAAAGGAAATGAAGATTTTTCTAATTAAGAGAGACATTTTTGAAAAAAAAAAACCTTGACTTTCTGTATAAAACTCCCTTATAAAACCTATTGAATAAACCACTTTATATGTCGTTAAAAAACTACCAAACAATCATATATATATATATATATATATATAAGAGCGATCAAATGAAAACCACTCCAATTTGTAAAAACCGTAAAAACTACTCTCATCCATCGTTAATCTTATGAAATTTTTTCATGAAATTGTTAATCTTGTGAAATTGTTTCATATAATACT